GGGTGCAGACCACACACCACAAGTGACGACGGCCTCCACAAAATGTAAATGTTTTCTGCCAATGAAATGATTAGCCTGTTGCAGTTGTATTCTATCAGTTGTCACTAATTACAACTATCATTTACCAAAAATCAGCTATCACTATGAACCACTACTAACCAGATTTACTTGGAGGCCGTCGTCACTTGTGGTGTATGGTCTGCACCCGACGCTCTTCTCGTTTTTTGAAAGGGAGGGTACCTGCATGGCCCATTTCTTAGAAACCCGTCTCACAAAATTAGAGGAAATGACCCTTATGTTGAACATTGTCTAATGGAAGGATGGCCGTGGTGGTAACTGACCTGTGAACACCAATAGTCCGTAAAGAGAGGGTATGTTGGCTGGGTTTCCCCGGATGGGATACCAAGCTACACTTGCTACTACACCAGTTTCATCCTAACAAAAGGGATTTGCAACGTTCCCGAGCGCAAACGTTGGTACCCTCCATAGACCCTTCTTCATTTCATTCATAACTGCTCTGCTACCGCTTACCTTAACAGCAACTGCGACCCTGGTTGACCCTAAATTTTGAAAAAGGCCCCCCTCCAGGGCCAACCGTCACGTTCGCACTTTTCCATAAATTTTGCGACCCCCTTCAGGTTGGTATCGATACGACCCCCATAACCACCATTTTCTTGCAACTCACCAACTTTGTCAGAAACTCGTCCAAACGCAACTCCTTCTTAACAACCTCCCTTCCCGCCGTTCCCACCATGATAGTCTTGCGACCCCTCTCCTTCCCGAAATCACAAATGAACCCTTAGTTTGAATAGTGCGAACGGACCGCTGACCCTGCCCCCCCCCCCGCCATGCACTAACAGATCCTTATTGACCGGTCGTCGAGGTGTTGTAAAAAGACTATCAACTCGTAGTACCCGCTCAGAATGATGTGCCCTTGAGATGAATTTTAAATTCTTGAAAATTAAACTGTCGATCGATGAAAGTGTGGAAGTAATAACAGAACCTCGAATTTGCTTTCGCTACAGTAAATAAGCAGATCGAAGGTTTGTTTTCTCTTGAACGGGAATGCCTGATCGGCACCGATTCGTTCCTCTGGTCCCCATCGATCGTTCAACCGAGACGTACGAAGCACTTTCTGCAATTACAACTGGTAGCGACAGCTTTTTCGATGTCACACTGTTCCCAGAAACCAGTCGTGAAGCTGTTTCAGTTTCACGGGAAAAACGCTCACCTTTGTGGGGAAGACAGCTTTGACTCGACACGCCAATTCAGCGTTAGCATGGAAATCAATCAGAAACTGTTTAGCACCTTTTGGTACCAAGCCGGACACAAACAGTCGACGTCCTGGATAGAAATTGCCTGGGATGTCAGCCGCATACGGTACACTCTGAAGCATCGACTTCTGTAATTCGTCATCGTAGGAAAAACACTGCGGTCACAGTTTGACACCTTTGTTTGCTTCAAAATTCCCCTTTATTACAGCTGGCAAATTTCTTCTCAGTGTTACACGCATTGGCGTTCTTGAAGAAATTATCCGCTTCAACCTATTAGATTGAAATGGCAGTAGCAAGCAACCATAAATGCTTGGCGCCAACAATTGCGTCCGAAGAACAAAGTTCAACAAGTCTCAAAATTGTGAAACTTCATAAGTCTTTTCAGAGTGAATAGCGGTTTTAAATGTATGTGCTACTTCTGCTAAGATTTTGTTGGCTTTTAATTGGGAATCGTGAGTTCTTTTCTTTCACAGACTTTTGAGTGCCGAGCAACCCCTTGAAATACATGGTTAGCCTGATGACATCACGCTTATTTCTTATATTACGTCTTTCTTTATCGATTTCGCTGGATGTTGAATTCTTCCCTCCCAATTTACCGTTCTAAGCATTCAAACCGGTTGCAGCTGCGGCATCGCACAAATCGCATGCATGAGAGAGCATGGCGCGACGCACTGTCTCATTACCGCGCTCTGGCCTTCACTTCGTCAACGAATAAGACATGACATGACGCCATTGAAGCACATACGCGCAGCAGAACTCGTGAGCCGAAGAATTTATTCGGTGGATAGAGTAGACCGCGAGTAGCACAGGTGCGCTATTGTTGCGGCTCGAAGTGCGCAGCAATGGTGCCACAACCTCCCAAAGACAGCATTTGGCGAAAAGTCCTGGCCTTTGGACGAGTTGGACGTCGCGCACATCCCATGACATGTGACGTGAGTGGACTAACGGAATTGCGGCACTAATTCAAATATCGCCGTCGTTGGGGCAGTGGAGCAGGCAAGCTCGCACAACTCGTCCACCCCGGCGCCCGTCCCAATTTCCAAGAGGAATCCTTGTTCAGGCTCAATCTATCCGGCTTGCTTTGCTCTTTTTCTCATCGGATCCACAACTCTATTATCGACCGCTGTGACTGCAAAAATTAGATCTGGGGTTGCTTCATATGGGAAACTGAGTATCCTTTGTCCAGACAAATTTAGTACCAAACAACCCCGTGAAATGGCAAATTAATCTAATGAAATTCGCGCTGGTTTTTGATCACTGGATCGCACTCGCGGAAGCGCAATGCATTGACTGAGAGCTTTGCGCGACCGCACGCGTCTCATTTCGCATTATGCCTTCACTTCTGCTAACCAGAAGGACACACAATAATTCATAGTATCAAGTGAAGGACCAATAAGGAACGAATCTCTCTAAACGTTGACCAATATTTGCTGCACATTCACCCCGCACATTTACCTTTACGCATTCCAAACTCGAGAAAACGGTTCGGAATCAAAGTAAGCTTCAAAACGAAGAGAAGTTACGAGACAAGCCATCGTTCTCCTATACTCTCGATCGCATCACCTTGAATGAAAGTAGAATGCGCGGCGCATCCCAAGAATCCTTGCCTTCAATTACTTTTGCCCCTTTCTTAGCGATTTAGGGTGTGTTCAACAACAGCATTAATGGAAGGGGTATATTTAGTGTTCACCAAGTAAGCAGAAGAGGAGAACGTGAAATCTTACGTAGAACTTTCCCTCCCACGAGACTCCGTAGAGCAGCACGTCACCGTTTACGTACACATGTGAGATGTTGTTCATCGGGACATAATGGGCGAATTTTGCCACCAGACGATGCTCGACGTAAATCTGAACGAATGATAGTTCTGTTGCTCTTTCTAGTCCACAGTTGGGAAGAACTTACGTGGAACTGATCCTCGAAGCATCTTATCCTCAGGTCGAACTCGTCGTTCACTTTGTAATGTTGCTTGATAGCTCCCTCTCTAAAAAGTCGTTGTACTGTGAATATTTAGAAGTTGATGCTACAAAAAGTCTTCTTATTTATTTTGTTATGCCACAAACAGATGTGCTGAAAACGTACATCTCAAGTGAGGTAAATTGAAGTTTTATTTTACGAGTAGAAGGCCAGGGGACTGATTCCTTCGTATCACCGCTGCGACAGCTGCCACGCTTGTCAAGCATACGTAGCGTTTGCGCTCTCTCATGTCTGAGTGCTATCTCGCGTCTTCTCTCTTCCTGCAGCGCTGTGTCTCCCC